CATATTAATGAATATATTATATATTTGTTACATTTTTCGTTCTTTTTCTTTTTTCTTTTTTTTTTTTTTTTTATTTTTTATAATCAAAAATTTTAATTCAGATGTAGCAAGTATTGACGCCATTATAAAGATTTCAATTTTTTTTTTTTATTTGAAAACAAATATTTTTTTTTTCTTTCCTTTTTTTTTCTTTCGATAGCAAATGACTCAGAAACGAAGATAGTTGTAACACCCGATTCGTCAGTTTCAATGGCGGAAGAAATTGAGCTTGATGATACTGATATGGTTTGTTCCACTTCGCCTGAGCCAGAAATGTGTTATGGTATGTATAAGATTATCCTCTTAAATATTAATCGATGACTCGTTAAAATCATAATTATCACTTTCTCTCTCTTCCTCTCACTCCCTCTCTCTCTCTCTTTTTCTCTCTTTCTTTCTCTCTATCTATCTATCTATCTATCTATCTATCTATCTATCTCTTTCTCTGTTTTCTCATTAGTCTTGACAAGATGTTCCAAAAATTAGATGTATATATATGACGTCATATTATTTGGCAAACAAAATCTTTTAGGAACAAGTAAGAAATTGATGTATACGCAGATGGTAAACACTTGTGTCTACCTTGTTAAATCAGCGATGTAATGAAGACATATTGAGAATGATGATGAAAAGATAATAAATTTTAAATATTTGTAATCTAACAAATAAGAGCTTAAAAGAGAAAAGGAGAAAGAGAGAAAGAAAGAAAGAGAGAGAGAGAGAGAGAGAGGGAGAGAGAGAAAGAGTTAGTAAACATTCTACACGATAAATACTCACCTTTTAATTAATCAAACAAAATGAATAAATAATTCTTAAATTATATTTAAATGTATCAATTTTATCATTATTATATATATATATATATAAAATTTTTTTTTCTCGACTATATTGAAGGACTTATCATTTTTAAACGACATTTAATATATTAATCTTTTCGCATGATTATAATTTTATATTCGATATGTCCTTTTGAATAAATAAAATGAATGTATTCGAATATTTGCATAAACAATTACATATATATATATATCATGTTTTAATATATGATAAAATGTTAAAAGAGATTCTACGTCTTGATAATGGCACGTTTTCCAAAACGTCTCAATTAACTTACGAACAAGTAATTGATACAAAATTCAAACTTATCGTTCTTGTAGTAAACGAAAGTACGTAAGTTCGTAGGAAGGAGCACGGTTTCACGAGTTTGATCCATTACTTCCTGTGGGCTCCACGCCCACTCAATGTTCCTACTTCTCGTCCACTATTTATCTGTCTCCTGCTAATTCTGCCATGGAAATGCAACTATACTTGAATACCTAACATGTACGCGCACACGCACATAAGTACGCACAAAGAGGGATATATAAAAAAATAAAATAAAATAAAATAAAATAGAATAAAATAAAGTAAAATAGATAAAAATAAATAGTCCGATATACTTTATTAATTCTTAATCATTACGAAGTTCCAAATTCGAACGATAAGTTCGATCCCCTATCGAACGGAACTTTCACAAACGAAAGCGAATTTTTTGTACGTGTAACGAGAGAAAAGAATGTAAAAGATGAAGAAGAAGAAGAAGAAAAAAAACAAACAAAGAAAAAAAGAAAAGTAAAAAGAAAATAAAGAAATCGTCGATTTAACACTGAACAATGACTATAACTTGAGAAACGTTTGAGAATAATTAATAAGATATGAGAGATTCGTGCAGTTAACCACGTCCCATCTCGTCGCATTTATACCAAACTCACGTCGACTAATTTCTACCGAACTGTGCAGTTATTCGTGATTTACATGGCGTAATGCTCGCCACGATAAATTCGAGATCTAAGGAAAGGACAATTCTCGTTTGCGCCATGCGGTTCGACTGAGATATGTGGGACGTCGACGTCCAACCACAAAGCCGTCAACGTGCTACGTAAATCTTTGCGAGAGCAACTCGAAGGAACGAGAGAGAGAAAAAAAAGATAGATAGAGAAAGAGAGAGAGAGAGAGAGAGAGCCGCCCAGAAAGACGATCCGCTTTCATGCCGACCAAACCAATTTTCAATTTTTTTTCTCCTTTTTATTTTTTCTTTGTTTTTTTTTTTTTTTCTTTTTAGTTTGAACTTTTCTTCCTTTTTTTCTTTTTTTCTTCCAAAACAATTTCAGAATCATTTTACATCTAATATTATCTCTTCTCTTCTTTTTTTTCTTCTTTTTCTTTTAATTACTTTTTTCTCACCTTTCAATTAATCCTTAAACTAAAAAAAGAAGAAGAAGAAGAAGAAGAAGAAGAAGGAAAAACGTTCGATCGAATTAAATAAAAATTAAAATCTATCCTATTTTTATTATCAACATGTGCGCGCGCGTGCACGCGCGCGTGTGCGCGATTACATGATTTTCTTGAATTAATTATCGAATTAATTAACAGTACGATGTCATACGAATGAAAATTAGGCGAACTTTATTGCGTATTTCTCTTAACCCGAGCGTCATTCATCACCGAATAATTAGAAGACAAGTTCACCGTGGCTCGCGGCAATTAGGTAAACTAGAAGGCGTGGTGTTCTATTTCCGCGACGTTCTCCTCGTGTCTTTTCTTCTTTTTATTATTTCTTTTCTTTTTCTATTTCCTTTCTTTTTTTTCTTTCTTCTTCTTCTTGGTTTTTTTTTTTTTTTTTTTTTTTTTTCTTTGGTTTCTTTCATTCGTCTCCAGTCTCTTTTTGTAGCCGTTTATCTCATCACAGTTTCGGTCCCCTCGGCAACCCTTTTCTTACTTCCTCCTCCTTTTCCTCTTCTTCTTCTTCTTCTTCTTCTTCTCCTTCTTCTTCTTAGAGGTCGTTCGTCAATGCAACCGAGTCAGAAACCCGACGACAAATGAGCCAAACGTTTCTTTCCTCTTGCAAGTATCTTCACAGAGAAACTTCTCCTTCTCTTTCTCCTCCTCCTTCTCCTCCTGCTCCTCCTTTTCCTTCTTCTTCTTCTTCTTCTTCTTCTTCTTCTTCTTCCTTCCTCCTCCTCCTTCTTCTTCTATGATATCGACTACGAGAGAAGAGATTTTAAACTCTATACGAAATGCTATTCGCCAACTCGACCGAATCAAAGACGGTACGATTTTAGCCGCGGATGACTCCGTTCGAGAGTCTTTAGAACGTGGCCCGAGTTCGAAGTTCTCGAGAAACATGCGAGAAACGCGACAATTACATTCCCCATCTGACAATTAGTAGTCGGTAAACGTTACCTACCAAGTTCTTTTTAATCTTTCTCTTTTATTTATTTTTTTTCCTTTTTTTTTCTCTCTTTCCCTTTCTCTCTCTCTCTCTCTCTCTCTCTCTGTCTCTCGAAATATTTATTACCTATCTCAAGACGTTCGATTTAATTTTTTCTCCTTTCTTTTACTTTTTTTCTCCTTCCACGAGGCTATTACCCAAGAAGAAAATTTTATAAGAATATTTTTCGGTGGGAATAAATTTCGTTAAAAAAGAAAAGAAAAAGAAAAAAAAAAAAAAACAACGGAAGAAAATAAATACGATAAAATCTCCGAAAGTATAATTTTTGTTTTATTTTCTTTTCATCAAATATTAAAACACTTGCGAGTAGTAGTAGATAGGAGTATATTGAAATTATAAGATGGGGGAGGAAGCAGGAGGGACGAACTGTTTTTCGTCGGATGACGAATGGGCAGATAATTAGAAGATGATCCTCACCGTTTAAGAGCCCACGGTCTTGTTACCAGAATACTAAAAGAGAACTTGGAAGACATTCCTCATGGGTAAACCGTGAGACGTCATGTACCGCTGCCTTGTAACTTGGGATAAGTATAAATATAAACAAGTTTGTGGGATAAGGAGAAGAAAAAAAAAAAAAAAAAAAAGAAAAAAAAAGAAGAACAAAGAAAACAAAAAAGAAAGAAAAAGAAAAAAGTAAGAAGATTAATGAGAGTAAGGCAATTTTAGGGTAGGTTAATTGGAAAGCTGGGCGATGAACTCCCCCTCCCAACCCTCTCCGTTCGACCGACCGACCGCCCGCCTCCTCTACTCACTATCGTATCACCGTCACCTCCTTTCCATTCTATCATTCTATCCTTTTGAGAATATTAATATATTGAATGGCACACGCGGAATCTCTTGATTTGAATCCAATGAAATTGGATTTATTTTTACAAATTAGCATTGCGTAAAAAAAAAAAAAAATTTGTTTACAGAGGCGTGTACAAGCAGTAGCGGAGCCAATTCAACAACAGGTGCGGAAAGGGAGATTCAAGAAAGAACTGCCAGCACGATTAGCGACGATGAGAGAAAGAAGAGACCACGTACTGCGTTCACAGCTGCACAAATAAAGTCATTAGAGGCTGAATTTGAAAGGAACAAGTACTTAAGCGTAGCGAAGAGATTACAACTTAGCAAGACTTTGAAACTTACCGAGACTCAGGTGAATTTCTTTTTAATCGAAAGAACGAAAGAAAGAAAGAAAGGAAGAAAATAAAAAAGAAGAATTGAAGATTAATATGAAAAAAAAAAGAAAAAGAAAAAGAAAAAAAATAGTTGTACTAGAGATAAATTTAGATATAAATGAAGACATTAGAAAACATTGCGGAGGGAAAGGATAGAGGGGAGGATGGAAAATGGGAAATAAAAGTGAGACAAGTTTAGGCGGGATATTTTCAAACGATAAATCGCAATTAATGTTCTCCAACTTCCGCAGACTTGTGTCACCTGAAATATTTTAACTTCCGTGTACACGGAGGATTTTTCTAAAGGAATCAACTTGACTCTAAATTATTAGTTAGCAGTAGTCATGCCATATGTGTAGAGGCGCCGATAGTATGGCGCCAAGAGGGAGGACTGCCCTTTAGGACCAATTAGCACTTACCCACCCTCTTTTCTTTCTTACTTTCTTTCTTCCTTTCATTCTATTCCCTTAACGAAGAAAGTGAACATTTCGAAAGGTTTTTCTTAACTTCCAAGAAAGGATCTTAACTCGATGAAATACCCATCCTGGTTGGATGTATTTTTGAAGGAACGAACGTGTTGAATCACGACGAGCTATCCAAACTTTTTTATGGGTCGAAAGTTACTTTCAAGAAAAAAAAACAAAGAAAAAAAAAAAGAAAAGAAAAAAAAATCAGACTATTTTTTGTGAATCACTCCTAACGCAAAAACATCTATAATAATAAACACATAAATTAATCTCATACATCAATATTCAATTAGAAATGAAAGAACGTGTTATATGACTCTCTCTCTCTCTCTCTCTCTCTCTTTCTGGTTAAATGATATTCTACAATTTTCCATTTCATTTTTATCCTATCATTCTATCTCGAAATGAAACATTTAAATTAATAGCTTTTATGACGATAAGATCTACGATATCAGAAATAATAATCGGCACGTTATAGTGTAATATAAATGAGTATATAGACTTTGACCAAAATGATATCCGGTGACTTGATAATTGTCGAAAGAGGTCGAAATATTCATGGTTGGCATTTAGAACGAGACGGATAATTATCCGGTGGATCAGGAGAAAAGGGGAAGACGATCAGACGACGGATCAGAGAGAAGAAGGAGACGTGTCGTGCCGCGGACGTAACTGTCACAATATTTCTCAGAGTTAACGAGCCAGCACCGAGCTGCTCCCCTTCTTCTTCTTCTTCTTCTTCTTCTTAGCTTCTTCTTCTTCTTCTTCTTCCTCTTGACTTCTTCTTATTTTCTCTCTCTCTCTCTCTCTCCTCTCTCTCTCTCTCTCTCTCTCTCTCTTTCTCTCTCTCTTTCTTTCTCTTGTGCAAGCACGATGTTACATACAACGTTCCATCGTTCTTAGCCTTTTCTTCGACTATAGAGCACACCCAACCCGACGGATGCTGCGCGCCATCAAGGCGTCGGACCGGAGAGGCGTCGATTTTTTAATTAGGATATATTACCAACCGAATGTCACGAATTTTAAACGGACGGCTCCCTTAAAATTCTTATGGGAAAATCATCCTCGTACATTTTGATAAATAATTTTCGTCGTTCTTCTTTTAAATAACTTCTGTTTCTCTTTGTTCTCTGTTAATATCACATAGTTATATATATATATATATATATATATATATATATATATATATATATATCTTTTTTTAGTTAACAATCTTAAGATTAATTTACAACGTTAAGATTGGTGCGATCTTCGATTGGTCTTTTAATCTCCGTAAAAAAAAAAAAAAAAAAAAAAAAAAAGAAAAAAAATAATCCTCTACACTTCATCCTATGATAGGATCATCGTAACGTCCAAGGGATCTTTTAATGCCAATGATATTCTCTCTTACCTTTTATCCCGTTGATCAACTTTTGGTTCATCCACCTTTACAAGTGATTTCTCACCTCAAGGACATGAGAGTACTCTGAACTTCCACCCTCCGTTCATCTACCCTCTGAAAAAGCTGTTGACACTTGATAGAGGTGGGGAGACCGTTTATAACAGTGGTCAATCCGGTTTGTAGATGCAGTTTAACGTCATGCCCAGGACCGATTTATATATATATATATATATATATATATATATATATATATACACACGTATATGTGTATGTGTGTGCGTGTGTATGTATATATATATGACGTAATATAATTGTTTAAGCTTTTTTTTATTATTTGGCTCATCAAATGATTGTAAAAAAAAGCTCTTCAAGGAGCCTCGGTAGCGCAGTAGGCAGCGCGTAAGTCTCATAATCTTAAGGTCGTGAGTTCGATCCTCACCCGGGGCAAATAATTTTTTTTATTTTTTCCTCTCTTTCATTACCAACCCTATCAGACAGGGATAAGTAAAGATTTTTTAAGTTTTCCCTCTTTATTATTAGCTAATAAATTTTATTCGATCGCAATGACATTTTCTATTCGTTGAAAGCTCTTCAAGCGCCTCGGTAGCGCAGTAGGCAGCGCGTAAGTCTCATAATCTTAAGGTCGTGAGTTCGATCCTCACCCGGGGCAAAATTTTCTTTTCTTTTTTTTTTCCATTTTTCGATTTTTCTCTCCCTTTTTCATTTACAGATTAAAATATGGTTTCAAAATAGGCGAACCAAATGGAAAAGAAAATATACGAATGACGTTGAATTATTGGCACAACAATATTATTCGAGCTTGGGTATACCCGCACCAAGGCCAATTTTCGTTGGAGATCGTTTATGGTAAATTGATTGATGTTGTAAATAATTTTTTAAGTGAATAAGTATCAACAAAGGGAGGATATTTTTTTTCTTTTTTTTTTTTTTTTATTTTTTCACAGGTTCTTCAATTATCCAACGCAATCTCAACCGGGTGCTACATTTTTCCCGCAACATTTGACGCCATTGCCTTTACCACCTGCTTTACCAATCGTACAACCATTGCCTAGTAATTTGCCAACGGGACAACAATCTCCTATATTTCATAATGTACCATTAAGTCATCCTAATCATCATCTTACACAGAGATTAGATTTTAGGCATCAGGAACCTTAAATTAATTCGTTAATTATATATATATATATATATATATATATATTGAGATTGAGGTGCAATGTATACGTAAAGGAACTGCTCGTTCGAACATTGATATCTCACTGTTTATCTTTTTTATATAACTGCATTTATAATAAGGATCATTAATATACGTACAAAATAAATAATATTCTAATTACAATTGGAAGTATATTATATTTTGGGTATCTATTAAATGTTTTTTCCTAATTATTATTATTATGAATTCGAACGACAAAGAATATTTAACAAATGAATTCTTCAATGAATGAATTTCGTGGGAGAAAAAAAAATTTATATATATATATATAAAGAATATTCTTTTATATATATGTATGGAATTGCATTGAGATAATAAATTATTGTATGAATGAAGAAACTTGACAAAATATCTAAAAGAAAATTTTTCTCAAACTGCGGATGGCGATGATAACATTTTATTAACACCTAATGTCTTTTCATCGTGAGCCGCTTGATCTTGTATGATCTTAGCATATTTTTCATTATCTTGTAAATCCTCTTCGTCCAACATTTCTTGCATTCTTTGTTTATATCTAACAAAAAAAAAAAAAAAAAAAAAAAAAAAAAAAAAAAAAAAAAGAAAATGTTTATATTACATGAAAACATTATAAGGTGTACAAAGAATTGAAAATAATTACTTACATCTCACTGTCAGGATTATTCTCTTGATTTCTACACTTGTCTAATTTTTTTTCTATAGCTCTAACAACATCACGTGACGGTGGTTCTACGCATTTAGCCATTGATCTTATTTCTATAATAATAATAATAATAATAATATACATTGTTTAAATCATTTTGTTAAACAATATTAATTTATAATGTTAATTTATTATAAATTAATTTGTTGAGTTAAACAATGAAATCTTATAAATTATTATATATCACTTACTTCTAACTGCTTCTATTATACCACCTAATTGTTCACTTGGAAATAATATATCCGTTACATAATTGTCTAAATTAGCAGAAGCTCTGGATGCTGCGTGTAAAGTTGCAGCCAAAGCAACTTGGCTTGGAGCATAAAGTAAAACACTATCAGTTAAAAAAACTCTTTCTAAAAATTCATCTATATGTGGCCTCAATTTTTCTGGATTTTCTAATGAAGTATAACGCGTCTAAAAGTTTCAAAACAATGTATTAATATACAAATATACAAATCTTTAAGAGAGAAAAAAAAAATTAATGATACACAAATGATAGACCTTAATATCAATCATTAATCCTTCAACAGGTCTAAATGGATTGTGTATCGTTAAATTATAATTCAATTGTTGCATAAGTAATAATTCATTATTAAGAATAATATCTGATGCCTTTTCTCTATCCCCTTTAATATTTGCAACAAATTGTGATATTGAAACATTAAATTCTTCAACCTGTGAAAATAATTTCATAATATCATATTGTAACAATATCATAATCCTAATGTTATTAGAATATAATAATAGGAAATAATTACTTTGCAAGCTAAATATACGCATGTGACTAATATCTCCTTTGGATGATAATCCATTACACTGTTCCTTAAATAAAATCTTTTGAAGTAATGTAAAGCAGTAGCAACAGTAGCTCTAGGCATTGGAGGTGTAAAACGACGACAGAAATCACGTAATTGTAATTCATAAAATCTAAGAAGTGTACGTTCCTCATTGTCCGAAAGAAAATGTGCCTCTCTTTCTTCTGGCTTATAGATAGTAATATGAAAATATACAGGATGTTCTATGCATTTAAGAAAATAAGAAATAGATACTAATAATAAAATTATTATCTAAATGTCCTACATTATCGATTGAGTTAAACGTAAACATAACCTCACAATTCATACGTAATTGAATATAAATTTATTTAATTATGACGTAGTTATAAATGAAAAAAAATGATTTAATTCCCTTAACCTCAATTATTATAATACGATTTTTCTTTTGTTCTAATTCGTTAAAAAAACTTACAGACATATTGGCACCATGTTTTTCAATGAAATCAGCATTAGTTTTCTCTCGTAACGTCGTTAATTCATTCTCGTCTCTAAACATCCAAAATTTATTTTGCGAGCTTTGAGGAAACATTTCTATACGTCGACGCCAGAATGAAGAATAAATCTTCGATTAAATCTATGTAAAAAGATAAATAAAATCACGATTATACCACAACAATCGACAGATGTTGCACGTGCTGTCGTAATGAAAGTACTTTATCGATTATTGACTAGAGGGCAGCATAGTTTGTTGTCTCATGCGCAGATACGTCGGTACGAACGACACCTACATTTCAAAATCTATTCTAATTTTTTACATTACAATTATAATTATATAATAAATTTAATTTTAAATATTATACTTATAATAATATATATATATAAATATAAATATTATAATATATAATATATAATATATATAATATATATATATACAACTATTATTAATAAATTTAATTTTAAATAAAATAAAAATAAAAATGAAAACTATTATAATAAAATTTGATTTGTAACAATTGAAAATCATATTTCAAAATACAATTTATTTTATTATCTTGTACGACATTTAAATTTAAATTAAAATTGATTATGATACGATTAAGAATAATAGAATTTATTATTCGATTCAAATAATATTATCGTTCATTTAAAGTTAAGAAAAAGAGTAAATAACGATTTGAAAAATTTGGAAGGAATAAACGAAGACGATGTTTTCTGGCAAACTGGACGCCTACACAGAACGGTAATAAACAAGATCGGCGACAAGGGAGATGGTGGAGTGAGGTAGAACCGATTTTAATATGGACGCCTCCCCCAAGCGGTTGCACGTCCGATCTGAAGGGGCGTTCCAACGACCCTTTGTCAACCGACAACGCCGCTGCATCTTATCACGATCGAGACTTGGGATCTACCCGTTTTGCTTCTCCACCTCGTTTCTTGCCCCGAGGCTATGGTCGGCCGTTCGAGCTGCCGCTCGCTCGTTCGCCTCTCTTTTAAAAGTACAGACCTCAGCCATAACTCTTCCTCATTTTTTATTGCAGGCTAGTTTACGTTGCCTTAACGTTACACGATTGCTCCTCGTCGTTGTCCTCCATCGTCATATCCAAGACTTTGAATAATATCAATACCATCGATCTTACATCGTCAGATAAAGTATCTTCTTTGGACGTATGATCTCCTACTAACATTCACTTTACTTATATTATTTCTATCTTAAATATCATTAAAATCATGACTATAAGTAAGATAGGATAAGCTAAAGATATTCTATAATTCGATCGAACTGATGTAATTTATTTGTTCTTTTTCTCTTTCGATCTCTCTCTCTCTCTCTCTCTCTCTCTCTCTCTCTCTCTCTCTTTAAATTTGATTTTTAAATCAACTACTATGATATTATATATTTCTCTCTCTCTCTCTGTCTGTTTTTTCTTCTTTTTTTTTCTTCTTCATTTCCTAGTAATAATGCGATAATTTGTTAGGCAAATTAGAATACACATATACAGACATACATGGATATAGATAATACGTAAATGTACGAAACCCTAGCGGTTTCGCTTCCGCCGAAATCCAAGAAAGGAAGGAAAGATACGGCTATCCCCGAAAGTGAAGTACATCCGCCATTAATCTAACATTGCGGTTACCGGCACCCTCCAAAGTTCGCGTGTTCCACCACCCTTTCCCTTTTATTCGAGAGACACGCACGTACGCGAGTTAGGAGTTCTCTTATATAGGTATATCTACTTCTACACGAACGTTTTCCAATAATCGCGTTTGCCGTAAGAAAAGGAGGAAGTCAAATGGTTTACTCGCCTCGTCCTAATGCAAAATCAATGCTCAACTTTGGCTACCCGAGGTGTGACGGAATAAAGTGGATTACTTTCGTCCAATGTTATATCCAACTTATCCGGCTTTTGGTACGCCATAATCAAGAATGACTTTCCTTTAGGAATTTACAACCCTCTTCTTTACACTGACAAATTAACCCTTATTCCAGATAGAACAGATATTTTAACATTTAGCCTGTAACGTTCTATACGCTGGTATATTCGTGACAAGTTGAAAAAAAAATGACAAATGATTTTACCGTTTCTAACGAGAAAGAAAAAAGAGAGAGAGAGAGAGATCCTATCTAGGCACGTCATTTTTTATATTCATACGAAAAAAAAAAAAAACCGAAAGGACTTTTCTTCGATGAATTTTTTTTCAAAAGGTTTTTTATAACCAGTAACATTCCTCTTTCAAGTTGACCAATCTATATAATACCGGTTAAAATACTTTCATGAAATGTATGTAAGTACGTGACCTAGTACATATCGCATGTTACCGTTACCATACCATGGTGGTAGGTATTCGTCGTTGGTTAACCCGCAAAAAGTGGTATCACGCCTGATTTTAACACTCCTCGGGCTTTGGCTTGACTGCTTTTCTGGTCGCACGCAAACCCGTTCCGTGGTTTCGAAACGTCACGTGTCCTATTCTCCTCATATGTCAGGACCTTTTCTGTTTCCTTATTATATTTTATATTATATATGTCTACCTATATGCAAATCATTTTATGTCTTTTATTTTTCGTGTATAAAACCAATGAGAAAAAAAAAAAATAAAAACAAGAAAGAAGGAAACGAGAGAGACAGAGAGAAGATAATAACAACAAAAACAAAAAAGAGAATAATCGAATAAACGAATGAAAAATTATTCTAATCGATGAAAGAGATCAATTGTAAAAGTATTCGATAAAGTATAAAATGATTTTTGGTAATATCATTTAAGAACTTTTGTATCATCCTATACGTATTACATTCATTCAGTTTTGCTACCAGTTTTGATACTTCGATCATCTCATGTTATTTGATAAATCATTGACGCCGAAACGATTTTAAGATCATGATTCTCTACAATCGATATGGAAGAAAGACAAAGGTAGAAAAATGAGAGAAGGAAGAGAAGAAAAAAATAGAGAGAGAGAGAGAGAGAGAGAGAGAGA